ATAGGCTCGTTTACCTTAAGGCTGCTTTGGCTGAAACGCTGCGTTTATACCCTTCCGTGCCTCAGGTGAATTATACATATCATCACTTTAAATTTTTTTATTATGTCGTACATGGGAACATCATACATTACGCTTATGCCCTATAGAGATTTGCATAAATTAAAGACTTAACACGAACACGGACATTAGTTAATTATTACGGATATATTGATTTATGTCTTATGTAGAAGTTCCTAAGTTTTGTAATAAACTTTTTATAACTTAGCTTGCATTTGACTAATTAACTCCGTAATTTTTCCTTTCTAGCTAGAATCAAATGACTGTTACGATCATATAATTAAATTTTACTTAATTTGAGTTATTTTTTTACCAAAAAGAAATTGGCAAAATTAACGCAAAATTACTCATCATTTATTTTGTAAATTTTCTTGTAACTCCTCATATTTCATAATAAAGAGCTGTGTGTATAACGTATTAGTAACGTTCCAAATGACCAGGATTTCAAGTACGTCGTGGACGACGACGTTTTGCCGGACGGGACTTTCGTGCCAAGAGGCTCAACGGTGACCTACTCGATTTACTCGATCGGACGGATGAAAACGATTTGGGGCGAAGACTGCCTCGAGTTTCGTCCGGAACGGTGGCTCACAGCCGACGGTGAACGGTTCGAGACTCCCAAAGATGGTTACAAGTTCGTAGCGTTCAACGCCGGACCAAGGACTTGCTTAGGAAAGGACTTAGCTTACCTTCAGATGAAGTCGGTGGCTTCAGCCGTTCTCCTCCGTTACCGGCTCTTTCCGGTTCCCGGTCACCGCGTTGAGCAGAAGATGTCGCTGACGCTTTTCATGAAGAACGGGTTACGTGTGTACTTGCAACCTCGTGGTGAGGTGGTTGCATGATTAATAATTTAATTAAGGGTGTTATGGTAAATATGTTTATCATTTGAAGTTTTAAACAACCTACTTTTCCTATGTTTTTCTCCACCTACAAAAATACGTACTTTATGAATTTATGATATATATATGCACTTTTTGTGCCTTTGTTTGGTTAAAGTTTGTTCAACTCTTTTTGAATAAAAAGGTTTATTGGTTTTACTTTGAGTATAAAATATAATTGAGTTAGTGGAGTTAAATATAGATTGATACCAATGTCGTAACGTAAGTGGGAATCAATTTCACACTAATATCTAAAGTGTAAATATTAGCCACTTAATTACTTAAAGTCTTGAACAACATAACGTAAGATGAAAACTCAAAAAAAAAAAAAAGAAGGATTTTATGTATAATTCGAAGATAGTCAATAATCGACTTCAAAGTGGCTAGGACATAAACCTTGAGACCCAAAAAAAAAAGAAAAAAAACCTTGAGATTTTGATACGAGAAGCAGCTTGGAACTTATGCATGGTACTGAAAGTTCAAAGATACACTTAAAAGGACTAAGTTGTTAAACAAATGAAGAGATGGGTATAGATAAAATGATCATAATATAACGTAACATCACATGATCATGGCCCATGCATGGGAATATATAGCTAGAACGATGGGAAGCAGATGTTGCTACCTTGAATAGAACCAGAGAGCATCTCTATCAAATCCATCTCTCTTCTTTCGCTTGTAGAGTTAGCTTGAGGCTCAAGAAACTCGTTGTGGCCTACGTGCTCTACAGTGGTGGATGACGTGGAAGATGAGGAAGACGGGAAATGAGTGTCCAAGTAGGAGGACGTCGTACCGTTCAACAAATAAGATAAGTAGATATCAGACGCAAGGTGAGATGTATTTGCAGGAGCTGCGATCGTTGCCTCTTGATGATGAGTTCCAACGTTGTTGTCCAAGTTTAGGTTTGGGGTATTGATCACGAACGCAGATGATGAAGGCTGAGTTACTTCATCCGAAGTTTGGGTCAGACCTATATTCTCAAGAGAAATCAGGTGGTTTGCAAAGATGTTTTGTAGGTAAACCAGCTCTTCATCATATGGATCGCCGAGGATGGACGATGCAGAATCTCCATCAGAATAGATCAGACGATCAAGATTAGGTGTAGAAATAACACTGATGGTGTTCTCATTCTTGTTCTCGTCATCGTTCTTGTAAATGCCATTATTATCTATGCTTTTGATGTAGTCTTGGAGAATGCATGGCCTTTTAGCTGAGGGAGAGACATCGCTATCGTTGGTATCAGCGTTTGATTCCCGTTTGTGTTTGTGTTTGCGTTTTGAATTTTGACGTCGTTTGGTCGCATTCCAATGGTTCTTGATAGAGTTCTCCGTCCGTCCTGGAATGAGTTTTGCGATCTCTGCCCATTTGTTCCCGATTCTCATGTGCGATTCAACAAGAACCATCTCTTCTTCTTCACTCCATCCATCTTTCTGATTTTTGTTTGTTTGGCAAAAAAAGTAGATATCGAGGGACATACATCAAAACCCTAGATCTAGATGAAACTAAGTTATACGGAGAGAGATCTAGAAATAAACCTTTATATCAGGACGGAGATGATTATGCCATCTCTCACGACACTGTTTGCCTGCTCTTCCCTCAAGTTTCTCCGATATCAGCGCCCATTTCCTCTCCCCATGTTGCTTCACCAATCTTATCAACTTCCTATACATATACATATACATGTTCGTATTAACAAAGGCATATACTAAATCTTTTGACTCTTGCATGAATCAATCTACATTATAAACATTGTATTGATCTATATATACCTGTCTTCTTCGGCTGTCCATTGCCCTTTGATGAGGTTTTTGTACGGTCGTTTCTTCGTACTGTTTTGAGAATATCTGGCTGCACTTTTAATAGGGACCACTTGTCCAATAGGGCTTCTGTTAGCACCATTAAGGACCAAGTGTTTCTCCCTCGTCTGTCCAAACGTTGTGTTCTCTTTGTTGTTGCTTCTAGTTTCAATCATGGACATTTTCGTCTTCACGATCGGTCGGTCCCTAGAACACTCTCCTTTCTTGGAACACAAGGCATCATTCTTTTGGCCGTACAAGAATCTCTCCACGGCTGTCAGCGGCGGCGCAGCTCCATGGAGAAGGCAAGAGTCTTCCATGGAAAAAGAAAAAGAAGAAGAAAAGATTAGTAGAAAGGACAGGAGAGCACAAATCAAAGGAGATTAGTTTAGCTAGTAATAAGGAATATGAGAGAACTTAATGAGTTGCTATATAAATTCAAACCAATGAATGACCCATTAAATTCAATTAGTATTATTACTTTTTCTAAAACAAATAAAATTAGCCTTCTAGCTATGAAATTTTAATTTTTAAAAAAGTTTTAGAAGAACTAATAATAAAAAATCTGTATATTTGTCCTCCGAAGTTGAAAATAATGAGCTAAGGAGACTACAAAATCTGATAACTAGAAAACATTGATACTATTTGTTTATTACTATAAGAATCTATACGTATTAGTCACTAAATTTCAAATCGATATTTTTCCATAATCCTCTCTAGTTTCCTATTGTACTCTACAAAGACGCTTATATTCAGAAAATATCTACGAATAACCAAATGATTATATATAAGTCGATTACAAAATGAGGAAGAATAAAAGGGTCAAATTTATAGAACATATCAATATATTATTTAATATTTAGTAAATAATACTTGTTTGACAAAACTATTGAACTTTGAGTCTTCTTTATTTTCATTAGTTTTGCAATATAACTAACATATTCACTTAAAAATTATATACAATATCTAAAATAGCAAAATGCGAAATTAGCTAATGGAGTATAAGACTCAATGACTCATGTGGTATATGCCAAGTGGTTTGAAAATGAGCTAATTTAAACAGTAGCTAAGGTGAAAATGAAAACCAAATTTTGTAACTTTTGAGCTTCATCATCTCACCCCGAGACTAACAACAAATGGGAGTTAATTACACATGAGGGAGGAAAAAAGCGGGAAGGATTAATAATCTAATTAGCTAATAGTGTTATTTTAACTTAAATATTGAAATTTTGAAAGACAATCACACACACACAGTCGTGCGAATTGTTTTGACGTAGAATGTGAAAAAGGGGTTAGCTTTGGAACTTTTGTAATGAGAAATTTTGTAACCGACAAAGTAGTTAATGGAGAGAAGATTTGCCGCCAGCTATAAACATATAGTAATATTACTATTATGCAATGAATTAATTACTTTTTTCGAACGATTAATTATGCATTCTGAAAATAAATTTTCCAATAAAAATTTCATCAATCTATCATTCTGAAAAAAATATAGGTGTGTTGTCAATTACTTATGTTATGCTTAAAAAACATGCTCATATGTTGTGCATATAACATATTTAAAATGTTCAAAGCATGCTTTAACTTATTTTTTACTAAGTGAAATTTTATGTATTAATTCAAATGGTAACAATAGTATAAATTAACCCCTGTGACACATATACATACATATTTGCATGGTAATGTTTGAAACTGTGCAAAACATATATTTTGTCATCATTTACGTATATGCTTTATTTTATTTTATATTTTTTTACAGTACCATGACTGAGTTTGAAAATTTTGGTTCATAGAGTTTAATTTATTTAGAATTCCAAACTAAAATTATGTGTTATTCAAGTATTGAATTTAAATAATTTTTAAAATCATGTGTTGTTGGTTCTAAGATTTATAAATACTAAATAAATCATTTGCTATTCTATTGGTGTTTTGTTTTTGGATTTCAAAATCCAAAAGTGTGTTTTATTGAATTTAAAAATGTAAGATAGAAGGATTCAATCCAAAGATAAAACATGTTATCTCAGAATTTTTGTGTTTTAACTTTTTATAACTAACTAGAATTTGCAAATCAATAAACTAATAACAGCATCTTAATACATTAAAATTTTAGTTTAGTAATATAATTAAGTTATGGATATTAAAAGGTAGTGAGGTCCAAAAACAAATAGGGCCAAATTTAGTTTGGATACAGGCCCATTTATAAACATAACTGACCCAATAACTCTAATTAGGAAGAATGTGTTACTATGACCCGTAGGACGTCCGGCGTCGGACGGAGAGGATCCCCCATTGTCGCCGATGTCTATTTAACATGGGCGGTAGAGGAGCCGAATCTTAGTGAGATTCCGAGTCCGCTGGTAATTTCATCCCTAGCATTGCAGTTTTTTTTGTTTGTTTGGAGATTTTGGTTTTTATTGTTTCAATTCTCTGAAATTTGATTCCTCTCTGTTGCTCTGCTTCTGGTTTCTTTTGAGAACACTTGAATTTGAATCATCTTCTTTTAGGATGTATGAATGAGTTTAAGTTTCAAAGAGAAGCAAAACTATCTGAAACTGTGAAATAAGATTGAAACACTATTCTAGAATAAAGAAACCAAACAACAATATTGTTTTTTATTATATGATGATTATGGTGAAGTGATGATAAAGCCTCACTCAGTGTAAACAACAATGGGACTTCTCACGTTATGTGTTCCATCTGACCATATTAGATTTGCGGACGAAGGCAATTTTGGGTCTATATTGCTCCCTGAAACAGTCACTGTGAAAGACTGCTTCTCCTTCACTGACTTCATTGATACAACACTAGGGGAGACCTTGACGTTGAGCTTAGATCCGTTATTTAAGACAATCTTTGATTTGTATGTAGAGTTTGGGCTACCGAGGTTGGTCACGGTTCTGTTGAAAGTCACGATGAAGGAGCTATTGGATTCCAAAATTTTAGCCGACATTGAAGGATAGTTTAGGTTTCTTGTTAAGCTCTTGCCAGTACAAGTGACGGTTTCACCGGAAATGAGCTGAAGGGTTTTCAAAGTGTAGTTCAAGCCGCAAAGGAAGGCGATGTGGTCTGTTTTGTCCAGTTCATAGACGAGTCCAGGATTCAGAGCGGCTACTGGGTCGACATGTCCAGCTCCATAAGCAAACTCTGTTGATGCGATCCCAGTTTCAGTACAGTTCATCGGCCAAGCTGCAATGATTCAATTAAGAAGATACTATATATGAATAGAGTTTTCAACAGAGGGTACAGGAAAGTAAGAAAAACTGGATATGAGCTTTGCTTACCGGTTGTCATGATGGCAGATTGGATCATGGAAGGAGACCATTCCGGATGAAAAGTCTTGATGTATGCAGCCACGCCTGCAATGTGTGGACAAGCCATAGAAGTTCCGGATAGAACAGAGTATTTCACATGTCTTTGGTCGCTCTTATCGGTAGATGGTGAAGCCAAAGGTGAATAGGCAGCAAGAATTTCCACTCCTGGTGCTGTTACATCTGGCTGCAATCCATCAACCATTGTCTCTCAGACCATTCACGGCATTCAGAAAAGAATTAAGAGCATATAACTGTTATACCTTTAAAAGATCAACTGCAATGGTGTTTGGACCGCGAGCAGAGAAGGACGCAACCTTGGGAGCTTTCTGAGTAAAGATTGGTTCACTTTTTAGAACAGCACCTTGCGGGGACCTGACATTAAAAAGAAACAGAGATATCAAGATAAAGAAGTGGAATCTAGAGCAAATGTAAAGGGTATGAAAGATAGAGAAGATTGTTTGTTACTTTGTGGAGTTAACGTAAGAGACAACAAAGTCAAAGTCATCTTGTGATAAAGCAGAGAGGGGTCGAGGGCTAACGGTGGCATAGTCTTGGTAGTCTCTAATTATGGATGCAACAGCTAATTCTGAACTAACTGAATATCCGCTGACCAAGATTTTTCCGCGAACTAGAGAACCCTCAATATAATCTCCATATACAAGAGGATAATTCTTTCCTTTCAAATCAAAACCATTGAGTGATTTCCCCTATTAAGACGAAAACACAAGAGTCATTTGTAATTGAAAGAGACAAAGATACCATGGTGATAGGAATGAGATTGGTACTTGATACTTACAACAAGTGTCTTGCCATTTCCGAGAACAACTTTGGTGACAAACCCACGGTTCATGGTACTTGCTGCAACGGTTAAGATCCATGGAGCTACGCTAATAGCTGACCCTGGATCTGGACCGCTGTTACCGGCTGACTGCACAGTGAGAATCCCTTTGGCCATAGCATGGAAAGCCCCGATCGAAATTGTGTCCTTTTCATACGTGGAGGGCTCGTCGCCCCCGATAGAGATGCTGATGATGTCAACACCGTCTGCTATGGCATCATCAAACGCAGACAGTACAGATGCCGGGGTACACTCTGTCTCAGTGCACACTTTGTAAGCTGCGATTCTAGAGGCTGGAACGCCGCCTCTTGCTGTTCCATTGCCTATTCCAAAGAAGTTTGTATCTGAAACTGCGTTTCCGGCTGCTGTAGACGCTGTGTGTGTACCGTGTCCTTGGCTGTCCCTAGTGCCTTCGCTTGTGTAATCTCTTGCTCCGATCAACTTGCTGAAACATTGTAAACACATCAAAAAATTCCTGGAAAAATACTAATCTTCTGTTAGAAAATTTAAGACAATTACTTGTTGCATGTGAAGTTTTGGCCACCGGAACAAACACCTTTCCATTTTTTGGGAGGAGGACCAAAGCCTTTGTCGGAAAAGCTCTCAGATTCCGGCCAAATTCCACTGTCGATGACTCCGATGATAGTATCACTTTCTACAGCCAAGTTTCGCTTTGTATTCTTTCCTTCCTTCAACCCCATGAAATCCCAAGACGCAGTTGTTTGAATTTGTAAATTCTTGCTCGGGAACACAGACACAACTCCCTCCATTTCTAACAACACAACAGGGTTTTGAATATTTTAACCTCTAAAAACATTCAAAATAAAATATGTCTCGATTGAAGGACACTAACCGGCTACTCTTTCTCGTTCTGACTCAGTGAGCCGGGCTGCAAACCCATTGAAACTCCTCTTGTAACTTGTTACCAAACGACCTTCCATCGAACTAAAGTGTACATACATAAATATCACTTGTTATTATCGTCATAACGTAAGCTTTCTATAACCGATGATGGGAGAATGAATTGCTTAAAATGGCACCTTTCCCCGGTGACTTCTTGAAGAATACTCATATGATGTGACATTGGTGTGTATTCCACTCGAGATGGAAGTGAGCCCATGTAGACAACATACACCTTCGTGGATTGTAATTATGAATGATTGATCATATAATAGGGAAAATAAAAATAAAACTCGATATTCTTAAGTAATGAGAACTCACTTGTTTATCGTGAAGATCATCTGTCACTGCTGAGACTGAACTCAAAAACGAGACAAGAACACATGTTAGGAGGAGACAGAAGGAAGTTGCTCGTTTCGCCATATTTTTCTTTTAGAATGAGTTGAAAGGTTAGTTTAATTCATTTACATGTAGTACTGTTTCTTATTGTAAAGAAACTAGTTTATTACCATAATTTTAATTAAATTTGTATCAATGGATATCACTAATGTTGACCAAAAGTTTTTATTTGGCAACTATGTATTTTCATGTTTAGGAAACATATCTTTTTTTTTTGGACAAACAGGAAACATATCTAAGGTTTAACCGTTTAATTTGTCATTTAAGAACTTAATTTCTGTGTGTTTATCATCACATTTCTAGCTGCTAAAGTGATAATAAACAACAACAAAAAAAATTCTGTTCGTTTTGTACTTTATTTTCATTGTGCTATATAAACTTGACATAACCAGAAATAATATATAGACTAAAGTTTAACAATATTTCTTTTGAATAGGCATGACCTTGAAACAATGAGATGGTCAAGACAATGTACAAGAAGACGAAGAAATCAATTCTTTGAGGTGACATTCCTCTACTGCATTTGTGGTATGAATTCTTCTTGTTTAAGGAGCTTTATCAATAATTAATCGCATTGGATCCTTGATATTCAAGATGATCTTTCAAATGAGAATGCTTGCATTGAAATCTTCTAGGATATATGGATGAGTTTAATTCAAAATCGATGCAAAACAAAAATCTAGATTAAAGAAACACAACAACAACAATATTATGATGATTGATGACTAATGGTGAACTGAGGCCTCATCAGTTACCATCGGTATAAACAACAATGGGACTTCTCACGTTATGTGTGCCATCTGACCAGATTAGATTTGCAGACGGAGGTAATTCTTGGCTGATATTGCTGCCTGTAACCGTCACCGTGAAAGACTTCTTCTCGTTCACCATCTTAAACGATAAAACACTAGGCGTGACCTTAATGGTGAGCTTAGATCCGTGATTATAGACAATCTTTGATTTGAATGTAGAGTTTGGGGTACCAAGGTTGGTGACAGTTCTTTTGAACTCTACGGTGAAGGAGCTATTAGATCTCGAAAGTTTAGCCGACATGGAAGGATAGTTGAGGTTTCTTGGTAAAGTCTTCCCAGTGCAAGTAACGGCTTCACCAGAAATGAGTTTAAGGGTTTTTGAAGTGTAGTTCAAGCTGCAGAGAAAGGCGAGGTGGTCAGCTTTGTCCAATTCATAGACAAGTCCAGGATTAAGAGCGGCTACTGGGTTGACTTGTCCAGCTCCATAAGCAAACTCTGTCGACGAGGTCCCATTTCCAGTAGCATTCATTGGCCAAGCTGAAAAAGATTCATTAAGAGACTGTATAAGAAAATGATTGCCAATAAACATTACTTGCCAGAGAGTAAATGTTGGATATTTAGTTTACCGGTTGTCATGATGGCTGATTGGATTATGGAAGGAGACCATTCAGGATGAAAAGTCTTGACGTATGCTGCAACGCCTGCAACATGTGGACAAGCCATAGAAGTTCCAGATAGAACAGAGTATTTCACATGTCTTGGGTCGCTCTTATCGGGAGATGGTGACGCCCAAGGTGAATAGGCAGCAAGAATCTCCACTCCTGGTGCTGTTACATCTGGCTGCAATCCATCCACCATTGTCTCTCAGAGCAAGAAAAAGAAAAAAAAATCAAGATTCAAGAGCATAAATATGTTATACCTTTAGAATATCAACAGCAATCTTGTTTGGACCACGAGAAGAGAAAGAAGCAACTATAGGAGCTGCCTGGTCAAAGATTGCCTCAGATTTTAGAACAGATCCTTGCGGGGACCTGAGAAAACAAACACAGGGGTATCAAGAAAAAGAAGGACAATGTAAAGCAGATAATGAAATAGAGAGAAGATCTTTATCTACCTGGTGGAGTTAATGTAAGAGACGAGAGATTCAAAGTCATCTGGTGACAAAGCAGATAGGGGACGAGAGCTAATGGTTGCAAAGCCTTTGTCGTCTGTAGTTATGGATGCAGCAGCTATGTCTGACATACTTGGATATCTGGAAACCAAGATCTTTCCCTTCACTAAAGATTCTGCAAAAGACTCGTACACGAGTGGATACTTCTTTCCTTTCAGATCAAAAGCATTCACTGATTTCCCCTGTTAAGAAAACACAATAGAGTAATTGGTAATGCAATGGGGGCAAAGATATTGTGATGATAAAAATGAGTGTTACTTATACTTACAACAAGTGTCTTGCCATTTCCAAGAACAACTTTGGTTAAAAACCTACGGTTGGTGGTGGTAGCTGCAACCGATAAAATCCACGGCGCGACGCTAGTAACTGTGGCCGGGGACGGACCAGAGTTACCCGCTGAGTGTACAGTGAGAATCCCTTTGGCCATAGCGTGAAAAGACCCGATGGAAATCGTGTCCTCTTCATACAAGGAGGGGTTATCTCCCCCGAGAGAGATGCTGATGAGGTCAACACCGTCTGCGATCGCGTCATCAAAGGCAGACAGTACAGCATCAGAGCTACACCCTATAATGGTGCAGACTTTGTAAGCTGCGATTCTAGAGGCTGGAACACCGCCTCTTGCCGTTCCATTGCCTATTCCAAAGAAGCTTGTGTCAGCAACTGCGTTTCCAGCCGCTGTGGACGATGTGTGTGTACCGTGTCCTTGGCTGTCCCTGACGCCTTCGTTTGTGTAGTCTCTTACCCCGATTAACTTTCTGAAATATTAAAAACAAATCAGTCTCTGTCTTAGAATAATAATAACAATAATCTCATGTTAGAATAATTTAAGAGAATTTACTTGTTGCAAGTGAAGTTTTTGCCACCGGAACAAACACCTTTCCATTTCTTAGGAGGAGGTCCAAAGCCTTTCCCGGAAAAGCTCTCTGACTCTGGCCAAATTCCACTGTCGATGACTCCGATGATAGTGTCACTCTCTATAGCTAAGTTTCGCTTTGTACTCTTTCCTTCCTTCATCCCCATGAAGTCCCAAGAAGCCGTCGTTTGGAGTTTGTAGTTCTTGCTGGGGAACACAGACACAACTCCCTCCATCTCTAACAACACAAAAAAAGGTTTTTTAAAGTATTTCAACCTTTAAAACACATTTCAACATAAAAAAATGCTTCTCAATCCACAAACACTCACCGGCTACTCGTTCTCGTTCTGACTTAGTGAGTTGGGCAGCGAACCCATTGAAACTCCTCTTGTAACTTCTCACCAAACGACCTTCTATCGAACTAGATTATATACGATCATTTGTTATAATCCTCATAACGTAAACTAATTATATGACGAATTATTTGGTTAGAGAATGAATATATAAAAACACACCTTTCCCCGGTTACCTCTTGAAGAATACTCATGTGATTCGACATTGGTGTGTAGTCTGGTCGAGACGGAAGTGAACCCATGTAGACGACATACACCTTCACGAATAGTCATCATCAACATCAAGTAAGATGGATCGTATAATAAGGAGAAACAATATGTATTGACAATTATTATTATATATACTGATTAATACTTGTTTATCTTGAAGATCATCTATGTTGGCTAAGACTGAACTCAAAAACAAGACAACGAGGAGACAAAAGGAAACTCGTTTCACCATCTTTTTCTTATAGATGAATAATAAACTTTCAATTTCTATGGAGATCGAAAGTATGTGTATTGTTCCAAACCGTGTCAAGAAAAAAAAAAAGAATCCTAATTAAATCCCTCTGATTTTGTTTCTTTACCATATATTATTTAATGACATCTGTATCAAATGGTAAGATATGACCAATCAAAACTTTATATATTACCATATCCTAATGATATTTTTGTATCAAATAGGAATGGTATCATTTTCTTTACATATAAATCATATTATTAGGAAACATATCTATTTGTTTTATTTTATACATATCTGGCCTGAACTCAGTCTTTTTTTTTTTTTTCTGTTTTAATTTTTTACTGATTTTTTACAACTGAATTATTGTCTCTAGGCGAGACCTTGACATTGAGCTAGATCCGTAATAGGACAAGACAATCATTGATTTTAGTAATCGATATGAATTCTTGAGAATCTTCAAAACTTATTATAACGTACCACTCAATTACAAAATCTTTGTTAAAAATTTTATGATTCTGTTTCTTATTATACTAAAGCTAGTTTTACCATCTATTTTTAATAATATCATTGTAGACCAAAACGTTGTAACATTGTATCTAAATACATCTTTAGGAAACATATTTGGCTCAATTTGCTTCATCGATTTTGAGCTCAGTTGAGATTTGAGACGTCGTAATAAAAAGAAGGCTTAAACTGATTTTATTTAAAGATCTATGGTGATGCCTCACCAGTAATCATCAGTGTAGACAACAACGACACTTCTCACATTATGCGTTCCATCAAACCACATTAGATTTGCAGATGAAGGTTGTTTTCGGTTGAGATTGTTTCCTGAACCCGTTACTGTGAAAGACTGTTTCTCGTTCACCCTTCTGAAAGAAAGAACACTAGGCGAGACCTCGACGTTGAGCTTAGATCCGCGATTTAAGTCGATCTTTGATTTGTATGTAGAGTTGGGGATACCGAGGTTTGTGACGGTTCTTTTGAAAGTCACGGTGAAGGAGCTATTAGTTTCATAAATTTTAGCTGCCATTGAAGGATAGTTGAGGTTTCTTGGTAAGGTCTCTCCACTGCAAGTGACGGCTTCACCTGCGATGAGTTCTAGGGTTTTCGAAGTGTAATTCAAGCCGCAGAGAAAGGCGATGTGGTCCGACTTTTCCAGTTCGTAGACAAGTCCAGGATTTATAGCGGCTATTGGGTTGACATGTCCAGCTCCTGAAGCAAACTCGGTTGCTGCAAGGTTATCCGTTGATGCCAAGACAGTTCTATTAGCATTCATTGGCCAAGCTGCAAAGATTAGTAAAGAGACTGTATAAGAACAGAGTTTACTATACTTGCGGGACAAGAAAGTAGAAGCTGGATTGTTAGTTTTGTTTACTAGTTGTCATGATAGCAGATTGGATCATAGAAGGAGACCATTCAGGATGAAAAGTCTTGACGTATGCAGCCACGCCTGTAACGTGTGGACAAGCCATAGAAGTTCCGGACAAAACAGAGTACTTCACATGTCTTTTGTCGATCCCTTCGGAAGATGGTGAAGCCAAAGGTGAATATGCAGCGAGAATCTCCACTCCTGGAGCTGTTACATCTGGCTGCAGTCGATCAACCATTGTCTCTCAGACCAGGAAAGAAAAAAAAAAGAATCAAGAGCAAATAACTGTTATACCTTTAGAAGATCAGCTGCAATAGTGTTTGGACCGCGAGCAGAGAAGGAAGAAATTGTAGGAGCTGTTTGATTAAAGATTGCCTCAGTTTTTAGAACAGAGCCTAACGGGGACCTGAGAAACCAAAACAAAGAGGTATCAGGACAAAGAAGGAAAATCTAGAGAATATTTAGAGAGAAGATTGCATGTTACTTTGTGGCGTTAATGTAAGAGACGAGAGAGTCGAATTCGTCTGGTGGTAGAAGAGAGGAGGGCTTGGAGCTAACTGATGAATAGTATTGGTAGTCGTCTCTAACTATGGATGCAACAGCTACTTCTGAACTAGTCGGAAATATGGAAACCAAGATCTTTCCTTTCACCAGAGACTCGTTGAAAGCTTCACCGTACACAAGAGGATACATCTTTCCTTGCAGATCAAAAGCATTCACTGATCTCCCCTGTCAAATAACAGAGTCATTGGATATTTAAAAAAAGACAGGGCTAGAATGATGACAGTGTTACTTTAGTATACACTTACGACAAGTGTCTTGCCGTTTCCGAAAACAACTCTGGTGATAAACTCACGGTTTGTGGTGCTGGCTCCAACTGTTAAGATCCACGGCGCTACACTCACGATTCTGCCCGGACTCGGATAATTACCTGCTGAGTGTACAGTGAGAATCCCTTTAGCCATAGCGTGAAAAGCACCGATCGCAATCGTGTCCTTTTCGTACTTGCGGGGAGAGTTTCCCGCGACAGAGATGCTGATAAGGTCAACACCGTCTGCGATCGCGTCATCAAAGGCAGACAGTACAGCTGCCGAGGTACAATCTGTCTCGGAGCAGACTTTGTAAGCAGCGATTTTAGATCCTGGAACGCCGCCTCTTGCCGTTCCATTGCCTATTCCAAAGAAGCTTGTGTCAGGAACTGCGTTTCCGGCTGCTGTGGACGATGTGTGTGTACCGTGTCCTTGGCTGTCCCTGACGCCTTCCCTTGTGTAGTCTCTTGCTCCGATCAACTTACTACAACATTTAATTGTGAACACATCACTCTCTCCTTTAAACAATACTAGTAACACTGGAACTATTAGAGAAATTAATTTAAGAGAATTACTTGTTGCAAGTGAAGTTTTGGCCACCGGAACAAACACCTTTCCATTTTTTGGGAGGAGGACCAAAGCCATTGTCGGAAAAGCTCTCGGATTCCGGCCAAATCCCAGTGTCGATGACACCGATGATAATATCACTTTCTTTGGCCAAGTTTCGCTTTGTATTCTTTCCTTCCTTCATCCCCATGAAATCCCAAGACGCCGTCGTTTGGAGTTGTAACTTCTTGCTCGGGAACACAGACACAACTCCCTCCATTCCTAACAACACAAAAGGGTTTCCAAATGTTTTTACCTTAAAAAAAACTTGTCAACATAATTAAATAAACTACTCCATCGAAGAACACTCACCGGCTACTCTTTCTCGTTCTGACCTAGTGAGCCGGGCTGCGAACCCATTGAAACTCCTCTTGTAACTTGTCACCAAACGACTTTCGATCGAACTAGAGTGTACGTACGTATCTATCACTTGTTATAACCCTCATAACGTAAGCTTATTATAACTAATCAATAGTTACAGAATGCATGATTCTAGTAAATGGCACCTTTCGCCGGTGACTTCTTGAAGAATACTCATATGATGTGACATTGGTGTGTATTCCAGTCGAGACGGAAGTGAGCCCATGTACACAACATACACCTTCATGAAAAGTAACATCAAAGTATGGATCGCATGATAGAGAGAAACACTATTTAGTGCTAATTAATTATTATATACGAGATTATGAGAACTCACTTGTTTACTTTGAGGATCATGTATTGCTGCTGAGACTGAAGTCAAAAACAAGACAAGGAAACTAAAGGAATCTGCTCGTTTCGGCATCTTTTTTTTCTTATAAAACGATTTCAAGGTTACTATGGAGATCAACACGAAAACGATGTATAAATAGTAGTATCATTGCTAAACGGTGTGTGTAAGAACAAAAAAATCATAATTAAATCTCTCTGATTCTGTTTCTTTATTTGTAAACTAGGCCCGGACCCGCGCTACAGCGCGGGGGAAAAGTGTCGGTTTTTGTTTTTTTTCCGAATTACGTAAACTTTTAACTGTTAAAATGGATTGTTGGTGTTGAATTTGGCAAGTATGAGAATATGTACTATCGTGGATGTGTACTTTGTCACGTATGCTAGGTTCAGATCCGCGCTACAGCGCGAAAGAATATTTTCAGGTTTATTTTATTTTAACGTGTTTTGTCGTATGTGTTATTATTTCGTTCATTTTAGTATCAACAATTATTATTTCGAAATGTATATTTGGTTTCAATTCTTTGAGAAAAGTGTGTTTTCGGAAATTAAATATAATATTTTTATAAACTAAATAAAAGAACGTTTATTAAACAAATTGTATACTCACAATGTATGTGTTGACGAACCAATCAGCAAAAACCCGTGTATTGTAAAAAAAATCATGAAAATATATGATATTGAAAAATCATGAAAATCATGTATATACATGTATCACACAAGAACATATGAGTTTGAAAGTTTTGTATATACTTGTATCCTATAAAAATAGAATAAAAATATTAATATACTTCATATTGAATAAGAGACCATAATATTCTTGTTATTCACATATTAAAATATTTAGAAAATTTTAAGGAAATAACAGAATTTAAGGTAATTTATTTAAACTAACTTATTGAATATATTCTTTATGACTGATTTTGTATTAGTAGTGATTCGATGATTAATAATTACAAAGATAAAATATTGTTATTAAAGTATTTTTAGTTAATTATAATAATTATCCTAAAATTTTAATTATTTTCTTTTATCCAAAATATTTCGTATTACTCATTGAAATATATTAATGATTGTCAAATTTCTTTTTTTCAAAATTCAAATATAACCATTTCTATATATATATGGATCTCTATAATTTTGCATTAATTATGCTATTGATAAAATATTATTCTTTTTTATAGGTAATTCAAATTGATAAAGATTGGAATAATTTTGAAACCTCTTTTCATATACTATTTTTTTATTCTGATTAAAATCTTTCATTTAACATATTAGGAAATATAAAAAATAAT